TAATAATAATAATAATAATAATAATAATAATAATAATAATAATAATAATAATAATAATTAATAATAATAATAATAATAATAATAATAATAATAACAACAACAACAACAATAACAACAACAACAACTGTAATAACAGAATCTTGTATGCCTGAATGTGCTTCCCCTCCTCCTTTATTTTCCTGTGATTTTGGGATTCCCCCCCTAATTCACATTAAGATGAAGAAGGGAGGATGTTGAGCAAGGATCACAACCTCCTACTGGCTTTGAACAACCACAACCTTTGTGGGGGGCCAGGAGGAAGTTGCAAGTCCCAGGCAGCTCCCTGGCAGGTTGGCAAGCAGGTAAGTGGCTGCTGTGGGGGAAGAGGATGCGTGAGAGCTTGGCATAGCACAAGGGCAGCAGGGGGCACCTAAGGGCGGGTGAGGGGCTGGTACTGTGCCAATGAACAGAGAGGCTTGGTTGCCAGGCACAAGAGATTTACCTGGGCAAGTTGCAACCTTCTCTGCATGCTTTCCCATTGACTTTGCTTGTTGGAACCAGCTGGGAAGCTGCCAGTGGTGACCGTGTGACCTTGGGATGTTACCACTGTCATTAAGTTTGAACCAAGTGCCCCCAGATTGTGACCGTTGTGTGACTGTGAAGGTGCTGGGTCGGCCAGACCCTCAAGGACCAGTTGTAAGTACCCCTTGTTCAGTGCTGTCCTAACTTTGGCCACTCAACAAGTGGTTGTTATCCAAGGACTACCTGTAAATAGATATCCCCAAATCTCACCTGCGAGGATCAACTGAAATACTCCACTGAGGTGAGGAATTTCCATATAAAATTACCTGAGGAACGTGGTTAGGGAAAAATGGTTTTCTGTTTGGTTGAAGAACCCGGGGCAATCGGTGCGGCTGTGATGGCGTGAGTTGTGCAGTTGGCAAGAGACTGCCCTCAGAACATTAGACCCTGGTCTCTGGTTTCTGCAGTCAGCACGATATTCCTTGTCTATGTTGACTTGAACTTTTCCAGCTCCGTTACAGAGGGCAGATTCCTTCCTTGGCAGACGCTTCTGTAGGAGCTGGCAATTCGATACAGGAGGTGCTTTTCCTTCCTCCCAGGAATGTCTGAGTGTTTGGCACATCAAACCATCATTTCCTGTCTGTCCTGGTGAGGACAGTTTGCCCCAGCCAGCTGCCAAACGGTTGTAGGTTTGGAAGCTCCTGAATGACCTGTTGCCACTCAGCCCTTTTAAGATCCATTTGAGGACCGGCTGTAGTATCAAAATAGGGTTTGCTGGAGGTGAGGAGCTGCTTTTGAGAGAAATAATTGGTGCTGCTTTTCCGCCCCTCGATATCCTGAAGTAGAAGGATGGTTCCCAAAGCCGCCTTCCAAGATAGTATGTCCTCCAATCATCTGGAATAAGAAGCCCACATCAGAAAACAGGGGAGTGGAGGTGATGCATCTATGCTGAGAAGCAACAGAAGTGCAAAAGGTCGTCGCCGCCTCCTTTTTAAATGATCTCTTTCCCCCATGAAATCACACAGTATAGAATGCAGGTAACAAGCTTGTAACCGGCTTGTAATCCTGAACTTGCTTTAAAACAGACTTTAGTTTATTCACGGGTCACCAAGTTTCTGTTTTCCTTTTTCTCAGGAAAGGAATTAAGGTTTGTTGAAGTCTTGATCAAACATTTTGCCCTGAATGTGCAATCAGATTTAGTGATTGGAACCTGGACCTTTTTAGAGCCGCCTAGGCTGGATTCACCCATCCGTCAAGCTTGTTTTTGTGACCTTTTGTTTTTGTTTTAAAGTCACAATTGATTAGGTTCATAAAGATGCTAAGCCAACAGCAAACCAGAGTAGGGCTCGGCACAGTGTGGTTCCCCTCGCCCTCTATCCTAAACTATTTTGCTTTGCCGTAACTCCTGGCTGTTCTTTGGGGGCCGATTCCACCCCAAAACTGTTTGGCTCAGCTTTACAACGTTTGTCTGCTTGTACCCCACTGAGATTTTGGATCAAGGCAGGTGGCTTTGGCGTAAGGGAGCCTCTCCTCTGCTTGGGCTCTTCCTTCACTTCAGGCTGACTTTGGGGCCGTTGGCCTGAGGCTCGCAGTCCCAGCGCAGCTCTTGACGCAAAACGGAGCACACTGCGGTTCTGGCAGACGAGCCTCTTCCCCAGAAGCGAAACCTGACTAGCATCCTTAGGAAGTTACACGCTGTTCCCCACCTCTTGCTCTCAAGCTGCTCTGTCGCTGGGCCAGAATCTGCCAGTTACGCAACTAGGTGGCCTTTGGGGGAGAAGGGGGCGGGCGGAGGGGGGGGGCTGTGGCTGACAGGCTGCTTTGCTGGCTCCTGTGGGCTGGAGCTCTGAAGCCATGCGCAGCCCTGAAAACCCCCACGCGGGGAGTAAGGATCCTGTTCTAAATCAAGAACAGCCGGGGAAGAAGGCGCTGTGGTTTTTGTTCGCCCCATCCCAAGGACTGGAGGGAAGAAGGTCTGGGAGCCAAAGAATTCTTGGCTGGAATTTGAAAACAGCTCTGTGGCTTGGGATCCGTGAACTTCTGGCTCTGCAACTGGTGGCCAGTTGGCAAGACGGCTTGCGCTGTCCCGGCCAACAAACAGCTAGTAACGCTGGTTAGGGGGCAGAGCCAAGGCTCGGGGTTCTAGGTAGGCGTAGCCCAGGGCCCTAAGCCAGATCTGTGCCTGCTCCATGCCGCTCGGGTGCGTAACAGAGACCTGGTCATTTGTGTTATTGGCTGGTGGGGTTTGGGTCGAGGCCGCCCAGTTTGCTATTTGCTCTCCTGTTCTCTGCACACCTGGCCTGGAGGCGGATGAATGGCCCTTCAGAAGGAACCACACTGGCTCTGTTCATATGCAGGGCCGCCTTGTTTGCTTTGGCCTCGAGGCGCTCTACACATTCAGCACGCTGCTGCTGCTGCTGCTGCTGCTGCTTCCTGAACTAGTGCTTGGTGCTGGGTTTGAACCCAGTCGAGGAAAAGCCAGCAGGGAAACGATGTGGCAGAATTCTTGCCCTTCTCGGGGCTGCTAGCCTGGCAAATGTCCCGATCCCTGCGATCTGCAGGAAGAGAGAAAAGGGCCAAGGGAGCCTCAGGGAAAGAAAAGCGGGTGAAAGGAGGCAAATGGACACTGCGCAAGGAAACTGGGCGGGCGGCTTGTTGGCCTGCCTTGCCTTGTTGACCAGACACCCCACCCCCAGGACCGTCAATCTTGATGGATGGTACTATTTGCATTTGATGCCGAGTTCCCTGCCGTAACGTTTTATTATTTAAAGTATTGGAAAAAGAGAGAGACGGATGTCAATATTACAAGATGATGTTTATGTAACAGAGAAATAGGGGGAGGATGCTTGGCAAGGCTTTCTATAAAGGTTGGGTCTTGGCTTCAGTCGCCTTAACTATATTGTATCACCTGGTCGGTATTTTGACTCTGATTTAAAGATCTGACAAACCTAAAATCCACAGGCTGCTACCTGTGGTGGGAGGTGGGAGCAGCCCGACAGGTGCCCCGACGGCTGCGGGTGTGGTGGGGGCTGCAGCTGCCCCCCCCCCCCCCGGAAGCTCTTCCTGGGGCTCGGGGCTCGCGGGTTGTCCGGTGGGGTTTCTGGGCTTGATCTCACCGTTGTCCTTCCTGCTTTCTTTCCAGAACTCCATCCGGCACAACCTCTCCCTGCATAACAAGTTCATCAAAGTGCACAATGAGGCCACTGGGAAGAGCTCCTGGTGGATGCTCAATCCAGAAGGCGGCAAAAGTGGGAAAGCCCCGCGGAGAAGAGCGGCCTCCATGGACAACAGCAGCAAACTGGCCAAACTCCATGGGAAAACGCACAGGAAGAAGCCGGCCGTGGCGGCCGCTCCTGAACCGACGGCGGGTGACAGCCCGGTCTCCCAGTTCCCCAAGTGGCCGGGCAGCCCTTCCTCCCGCAGCAACGAGGACTCAGAGGTGTGGACCAGCATCCGGCCTCGGAGCAGTTCGAATGCCAGCAGTGTGGGCCTCTCCTCGGTGCTGGCCGAGCAGGACGACCTGGCCGACGAGGAGCTGCTCCCCGGCCTGGTTTTCTCCAGCGCCTCCAGCAACGTGCCTCCCACCGTGACGGAGGAGCTGGAGCTCATCGACGGCCTGAACCTGATGTCGGCCAGCCCCTCCTCCTTGCTGGCCGCTCAGCAGCCGGGCTCCAGCGGGGCGGAGCCGAGGAGCCCCCCCTTCCCCTTGCGAGCCCCCAGCTCTGCTGCTCAGGCCTCGGGCTCGTTCGGCAGCTCCCTCTTCAGCCCCCTGGATCACCTGCTGCCTGGCTCCGCCGGCCATTTCTCCCAGTCGCTGGAGGAGCTGCTGACGGCCAACTCGCCGCCTGTCAGCGACGTGATGATGACCCAGGTAGACCCGATTCTCCCGCAGAGCGGCAGCCGGGTGAGCAGCCAGAGCTACCTGCTCCTGGGGGACCAGCCCTCCAAGCCCAAGAGGGGCCTGGGGACCCTGCTCAGGAAGCCCCTGGAGCAGCCGCTGGGCTCCGTGGGGGCCGCCGCTTTGCCCTCTTCTGCCTTCACCCTGCCGGCAGCGGCCTCTTCGCAGGGCCTGCCCGCTCTGAAGAGCCCGGGCTCAGCTCCGTCGGCCCAGCTGGGCGCCCAGCCCGCCGCTCTGCCTACCCCTTTCCCGGCCTTTGACGGGAATGCGGATAAGCTGCCCAACGACCTGGATGTGGATATGTACATGGAGGACCTTCAGTGCGATGTGGACTACATCATCAGCACCGACCTCATGGACGGAGAAGGGCTGGATTTCAACTTCGAGCCCCTTCCGCCCACCCCCAGCTACCCGAGCACGTCCCAGGCCTCCAATCACAGTTGGGTCCCCAGCTAACTTCGTATGGACAAAGGTAGGCAGCCTCTGGCCCTGGACGGCTGCAGGCCGCTCCCCCCCCCCCCCCCCCCCCCCCCCCCCGCCCTTTGCCCCCGGGGGGGGGCCCCCCCCCCCCCCCCCCCCCTTCCCAGCGTTTGTTGGTTCAGGAAATGCAGGAATGGGCCAGCGGCTCTTTCAGCTGCCCTCAGCCAGCAGAGCTTTCTCTGCAGAGGGAGGGAAGGCGATTCATCGCCTGCAAGGCTCCGTGCGGTTTCTGTCCTTGGGGCCAAACTTGGGGCTCCTCTGGCTTTGTTCCAAGGAAAATAACTGCCCTCCAGAAGGAGGAGGAGGAGGAGGACTGGGGGGTCCTTGGGGGCTCCCTGACCTTGGCGGTGGTTTCCTTGCAGGCGTTTCAGGACTCAGCTAGGGAACATCATCAGTGCTAGAAGAGAGAGGGGTTTATTTGGAGGGTGGGGGGGATGAAAGGGAAAACGGTGGGTGCTCTCCTGGCTTCTCCGTGCGTTGGGAGAAAATGCCCTGGGCAACCCCAAGTGCTCCTCCCAATAGGAAGCATGGCCCCGGGACAAAGTGGAGGACAGTGGGAAAGGGCCTTGCCTTGGTTGAACAAGCCCCGTCCTTGGTTGGGTCCCATGTCAGCCGCTGGGGGGGGTTTCCTTTAAAACGATACTAAAACGTTTCCTCTTTATTTGAAGACAAAGGGCGGATTGGTGGCAACCAGGTGGCCCTTTATGGGCGAGCAGCTCTAAGCCTCCTAAGGCCTGCCTTGCGCAGAGGCTCTTGGGCCGGGCGATGGCTCCCTGGCCCTAAGGCTTCTTTGTCGCGGGGGCTCTGGGCCTCGGTGCCTATCGGAGCCTTTGGAAGGCAGCTCCTGTGCCTGGGGGGGGGGGGGGGGGCGCCCGACGGGGCGGCCGGGGGGGTGGGGTGGATACCCTCCCCTTTCCTCTTCCCCTTTCCTGTCCTTGGTTGCCTCCTAAGCACTAAAGAGAACGGGGCCTTTTTTCCCCCTCCCCCCTCCCAGTGCCCTTCTGCTTCAGGAGCTTTTCACCCCCAGAAGCGCCTGGAAGGCCAGGAGCTCTTGGTGCCCGCCTGGGCCTCGCCAGGGGGATCCTGTCCAGTGCCACATCTTTTCATGAATCCAGCCTACGCCCTTCTGCCAGCAGGAGCCTCGCAGTGCTTCGCCACGGCCAGACCAGACCCTCCCTGTGCCGGAGGAGAGGCCTTGGCAAACGGACGACGGGCCTGGACTCACCAGCCGATTTCTGCCTCGCCCGTCACTGGACTCG